CTGTGGAGCCCCGGAAGCCGCAGATCCCGCTGATGCCCATGAGCGACGCCCGGAGCGACCTGCTGGCAGCCATCCGCAGGGGGGAGCAGCGGGGGTGGCAGCAGCGGGAAGGTGGGGGACGGGTCCCCCACCGCAGTGGCAAAATACCTCTTGGCGTAGAGTTGGGTGGCGTTGGCTTCGTTGGGTGCAAGATGAGCCCTGGGTGGCCAGGTGATGCGTGAAGATGGTGGGACCTGGGGAGGGAAAGAAATGCAATGCAGGGGGTTGGAGGGAGGTGGGACGGAGCCCCACAGGGATGACCGGCAGCTCTCGTGCACGTGGCCTCCTTCCAGGCTGTAGCGGATGATGTGCTCCAAGGCTTCTCCCATTTTCCCTTCCTGCAAACCTTCAGGTCGATGACAGATTTAATTTTCAAGAAGGTTCAACCTCTTCAGGTCGAGTGGAAACAGAGGAGGAGCTTTATTCTATTCTATAGCTTTATAAGTGCATGCATCACGTTATTATCTCATATAGCTTTATAATCGCGTGCATCCTCCTGCAAGGGGGCTGCAGCCATCTCATTTCAGCCAATACTTTTAACTGGGGGGATGCCGCACATCGGGTGCACCCATGGGTGCTGAGCACGTTGCCCCTAAAGCCTTCCCCCCTTCCCTACTGCAGGAATCCAACTCCGGAAAGTCCAGGAGCAATGGGAACAAGAGGCCAAAAAAGAGCCCGTGGGCAACGACGTGGCGACGATCCTATCCCGCCGGATCGCGGTGGAGTACAGCGAGTCCGACGACGACTCCGAGCTGGACGATAACGAGTGGTCGGACTGAGGGCCCCCAGGGCTGGGCTGGCGCGGAGCTCCCCGGCTCTGTACCAGGTGTGTATAGGCGCCTTCCCCAACGTCGATGCCAACAAGCACGGGCGGCCCCGCTCATTCAGGAGCTTTGCTTTTACACCATGTTGAAAACCCTTTGGGCAGCAGCAGCACTGGTAGGATACGTCTCGGAGGCAGTGAGGCCAGAAATTAGCAGCACCTTCACATTTAATGACTTCAAAAATGCTCTGAAGGCAGGTTAATAGGATTACTCCAGATTTACACCTGGAGCAAGACCAGAGGCTGGCCCTGAGTCTGCTTTGCTAGAGAAGGGAAACCCAGAGGCAGTAGTGCTTTTTCAGCTAGATGTTAAACGCATTAACCAGAAGCTCCTGGAGAAGAAGCCTGATTGCACAGCTGATGCCACCACGGGTGCGCAGGGGTGACCGTGCGCTGGGTTTGGGGATGCTCTGCTGCCCGCATTTGTAGGATCGGGCAGCTCCGAAGGCTGCGCGTGGGCAGGAGCCTCCTTCCCCATAGAGCGACGTACTGCGTTTTGCGGTAGTTGCGTAGGGACGGTCACCATCGCGCTCTCGCTCCTTGGAGAAGACCGAGGCGTTGGTGACCTGAGCCCGTTTCCACCCTTAGGACCAGTTTTCTGGGAGAAAAGCGTGAAGGCAAGGCTTGTGCAGCTGGCAGGGAGACACAGGGCTTGTCCAGGCTTTGAAAGGTGCAATGTGTGCTGTCCTCGGGGGGGAAAGGGGCCGCTGGCAGGGGAGCAGAGGTGTCCAGGGAGCTTCCCTAAGCCCAACTCTCCTTGGCCTTAGCGCTACACCATTTCAGTGTTGTTTGAAAAAAAAAAACTAATTAGACAAAATGCTGCTTTTAGGTAAACTCTCAACTTGCACTTTGCTGCCCCACAAACTGCGCCCGTACAATGGAGATCAGCTCGGACCCAGGCACTAATCCCCCCGGCCTGATCCTGCCCCGTCCCTTACCCCACAGGCGGGCACTTATGGGGGAGCCTGGAGAGCTGGGCCCCCTGCCACGGCGCTGAAAATGCCAGTTTGCTCATCAAAATAGAGCGTGATTCATCGAAGGCTTTTCACGCAGCTACGAAGGGAGGAGGCACGGGAAGGCAGAGTGAAGGGGTGGGGAATACTGCAAATATCACAGTCAGGAGTAAGAGCCTGCAGAGAGCTGGGAGAGGTTCCCCACCAGCAGAAAATGGGCCAGGACCAGCCATGGATTTGCCCGACACGGTGTCCTGAGATCCTCTCTTGTGCTCCCATATACCACGAGTCCCTGAATGGGGGAAAACTGAGTCCCCACGTTGTATCTCTTCTGGGGAGAAGCTGGGCTCTGAGCCCACCTCCCCGGTTCTCCCAGTAGCCACGTACGTGATGGCTACAAAAGTAGTATTTTGACTATCTAGGAGTGACCAGACCTGTAAAGGAGGTGGGAGGGTATGGCTGGGACCCAAAAGACTCAGAGGCTGATGCTTAAATTCACCCTGAGAAATGCTAATGTTGAACAATGCCCCAAGTATCGGTTCATTATCCTCCTGGTATGAAACCCTTCATGGCGAGATGCGATGAACCCCCTGCCCAGCTGCTGAGAAATATCCCCAGGAGCCCTCCCTTCTCTTGACTGACACAAAATGATCTCTTGTCCCTTGGATGTGACACCTCCCACGTCTCCGCATCTGGGCTGCGAGCTGTGGTGCTGAGTGGGGGGCTCGAATGGAGCAGCAGCGTGGATGTGGGAGAGGGCAAGGGTGGTTGGGGAAGGGTTTGCGGGGGGTGCCCTGCCATGGGCCACATCCCCGGGTTTGGCCCCCCTTTCCTTAGGGAAAGCTCCCTTTGACTTCAACAGGACCGATTGCTGGAGCGGGAACTGCAAATAAAATCCTCGGATTTCACCCCAGAATTCCCCATCTTGGCAGCGCTGATGCCTTTTAAGCTGCTCGGGTGCTCGTCCCGCTCCACCTGTCAAGGGGCAGCCTCTCCCAGAGTGAGGAAGACCTGGCAGTATGGGATTAGTTGTACGGCTCGATCCCAGTTCCCCCATCAGCCTCCCCTTTTACCGAGCTCCTGCTGTGGGCAGGCGGGGCAGAGCAGGCAGGGCAGAGGGTCTTTGGACATCTGTCACGTCCCACCGCCGAGAAGGGGAGAGTGACTAACTTTCGCAAATCCCCTCCGTGTGTCTTAAGGTGAGATAACACTCAAGATCTGTAGACAAACGTCAACTTTAATAGGATAAACATTCTGTAAACGTTGACCCTCTTGAAATGCAGAGAACTGGCTGCAAAAGCTTTCGGCCAAAGCCTGGCATCTCCGCCCAGGCAGAGAGCCCCTGCGATGGGCTTTCCTAGGCAAGGCAGCTGGGGTTTGGACCTGGAGCAAGTTCAGCAGAAAGCCTTGTAAAAATTCAGAGTAACATTTAAGAGTCACCCGGTAGTATTTATTGTGGAGTGTTATTAATACAGATGCAATCGTGATACTGTTTGTATGTGAAGGGAAATTGGGTTTATGTGGATAACGTAGAAAGAGTAACAACCCTTTGTGAGAGAGAGAATAGCAGAGGGCTGTCGGAGCTGCCGTTACCTGTTACGGTGGTCAAAGGGCTGCAGCGTCAGCTGCAGGGACCCAGGTGGGGCTCAGGCAGAGCCGGGGAGTCCCACCAGCACATGAAGGGGCTCTGGGACATGTGGAGCTGGCTCGTCCCTCGGGTCTGTGACTGCCCCGATTCTGGGAAGCTGAGCTGATCCTGGTGGGAACTGGAGAGGAGCCGAGTGCCCCTAAAAGACTGGGTCCCTTCTTTTCATGCACTAGTTGCATTATGGGTGTCACACGAAACTGTGATAACTCTGGTAGGACTCCATTGGCACGCGGTGGGTCAGGATTGTCCCTGTAGCCTCCCACTTCCCTGTCGCCTCACGGCAACTTTGCTATGCTTGGGATTGGCAGCAGTCAGGCAACCCGTACTACTATCAGGGTCAATGCCGTTGCATGGCAAAGCGCTCGACAATCATGTAATTCAAGCCTTGCCTGCCCTGTGCACAGGTCACATCTGCAGAGCGGGTGCACAGCTGGGAGCCTCAGGGGTGCAGAGAGCAAGGCTCACCCTCCTTTGCTCGTGCTTTTACATTCTTACACCATCCTCTCCTCTTCGGACATCCCAGCACATCCTCACCGTTTGTGTTCTGCTTAAGGAAATTCCCAGCCCCTGATATCACAAGCCCATGTCACATGCTCAACTCCAAAGCAAGTCAGCAGGACCATAACCTCCTGGCATTGCCTATTGCTTGAAGACATCATGATCCAGCTCTTCCAGGGATCTGAACTGCCTCAGCTCCACTGAAGCTGTCTTGATACCAGGGACAGGGCTGATCCACAGGTAGCCTCTTCCCAGTGAGATGTCTACATCTGAGCTCGTTGCTCAGGTTTCTTGTGTAGCTGGTGGAGAAGTAACCTGTATAGTCAGTGTGGGCTGTAGACACCCATTTCTGGTCTGATCGTGGTGCACCTTGCTCTTCTCAACACTCTTGGGAAGCCCCAAGAGTGGCAGCGCCACGAGGCAGGCAAGCACACGGTGGCACCGAGAGCTCCAATCTCATGATGCAGCCATTCCTGCAAGGCCAGCTCTGCTGGCAGGCCAACATCCTCGGTGCCTTTGCTTGAGGAACTCAGCCACGTTTGAGGATGACCATCCTTATTTTAGGTGCATTCATCTATTTTTTGCCCAGGTGACCTATGAAATCCAACACAAGTGACGCCAACTCCTTGGCTGGGCTAGCTCTGCTGGAATTGGTTGTGCCATACTAATTAACACCGGCTGTCTGACCCATATGCTGCGTACTCAATATTTTGTATGTATGTGCCTATTTCCATATACTCTTCCAAAAGTAGGCCATGCTGCGTTACACAACCCAAAATGCTCAAAGCCCCATGTGGGCCGATATAAAAGTAAATATTTAAATATTTTATCTAGCTTGGCAGCCATTAAAAATACAATCCAGGTCACAGACGATTGAATTTCTCCTCTCGCAAGTGTACCAGAAGTGGGCTGAGGAGATTCTCCTGTACATTAAGGTATCATGTTCCATGTTAAAATATAGCAGCGGCATTTCATTGCCAACAGATAATCACAGAGTGCCAAACATTTAATGAGCCCAACCGATCTCCCGAGAGTTCCTCTTTCCATTTTATCTGCTTTCTCCTACTTGCCAATTTATGGGCCTAGATTAAAAATAATAAATACGACTGCCAACAGAGGGAAGTATATTCTGTGTGCATACAAATAAATTGGGCCAGAGTCAGCGGAAGAGTAAATAAGCCAGTTTGGTTCTGCTTAGAGATATTAACAGAACGCTATAGTCCTTGAGGTCCATTAGGAACCTCTTAGACATTTCTGATTTATCTGAAAAGGAGCATTATGGGGACCACCGTGCCCATGGTAGGTGAAGCCTACAACAGGTGTGAAGTCTGGTCTTGCTCAAGTTTCATGAAGGTTGGTGGAAGTCTAGCAGTGTTTGCATCCTGGCATTGCGCCTTCAGTGTCCCCTTGATAGTGAGTGAACATTGGAGCTGGCTGTTGATGCTGGTGGCTCTTAGAGGATTAGTGTCCTGAAGGAAGAAGGGATTGGGTAGTTTCTAACTTTCCACCCTGGGCAGAGACCTAGGGAGGAGCGAGCATCACGTCCTACGAGAGCTCCTGCTTTTGCAGCTATTTTATCCTGGGAAGGTTTTATTCTGGTGACAAACGTAAGGCTGAACACGGCTTCTCCAGAGAGCTCCCTTCATGTAAGACCCCTCAAATTTCCTCCCAGCAATTTTTCCATCTCCATCTCCCTTTCAAGACACCCAACAGCCTGAACAGCAGCTTTGCAGACTCCCCTGGGAACAGAACCTGAATTAACACCTCAGCTTAATGATAAATGGAAGTTTTGCTTGGAGGGAGGCAGGTTGTAGCACTGGAGGTGGTATTTTGGAGGGTGCTGTCCAGAGTTGCATG